GATGTCCTTTATGGTGTTACCAAGGAATGGAAGATTTTCCAGAAAGAAGAAATGATCCACATTATCAGAGGATCCTTGGATCCTCTGATGAAAAAAATTTTTAAAAGTCTATTGGTTGGGACCAAAAGGAAGTCACTGGGGCTTTGGCAAGAATGGGTTCATGGAGTGAGGAAGAACTGTTCAGGCAGAAGTCAGAGTACAGAGGACTCAAGGGAGTGGAAAGGAAGGATGTAATCAGAAAGAATCAGCTAGACTTGACTATGAAGAGATAAAAAAGGCAGAATTTGGAAGGCTTAAAGTAGGATGTTCATTTTCATTTTGTGAGAATCAAAAGTAGCTGATCTGCTAAAGAAAAGGAGATAGACCCTGGAAGGCAGTGGGATCCACAGCAGAAGCAAGTTTTTGCTGTTTTGTCTGTCTGCTTTTCTTTATTTCCTCCTCCTCCTCCTTTTAGTGTGTGCGTGCGTGTGTGTGTGTGTATGTGTGTGCATGTGTGTGTGTGTGTGTGTGTGTGTGTGTGTGTGTGTGTTTGGTTTTTAGTCATTACGTTGTTGCCACAGAAGAGGAGGATGAAAAGACGAGTGTCTCTTGAAGGTGATCTGGGGCCAGGCAAGCCCATGGCAATGCCAGCCTTAGGGTTTCTTTTTCTTCTCATTAATGGGGACTTGGGTCTTCTCTTAAACTTGGTGGGGCAGGTAAGGGTGGGAGGCCTGAGATGGTCAAGGTTTGATGACATTGTTGTGGGAGAGAAGAAGATGTTGGCTGGGGTAATGGATAAAAGAGTAGGTGGGAGCTAGGAGTGCTATGAAGGCCCCATGAGAATGATGCAGAGGGGAAAAGGAAGATAGCTGGATCACACTAAGGTTGAGATTTTGCAGGCAGAGGAGATGGAAGGAAAAGTATTAAATGCCACGCTCTTACTTAAACAAACTTTGGAGACTTTACAAATCCCGCAAAATAGAATCCTCTTTTGCCCTGATACTCAGTCCCTCCATGACTCAGTTTATGTTTTACCCCCATCTTCTTTCCCTCCCCTTGGCACCAACCCTATTCATGCTATCCTCCTCCATTCATCCTGCTATTTCTCTAGGTTCTGTTGGAATTCCAATTTCTGAGCTTTGGCCTCTTTCTGATTAGAGCATCTGTCTAATCCTCCAAGGTTAATGCAAATTCCATTTACCCTAGGAAGCCTCCCACCTTCCCAAGCCAGCATTCCTCTCTCATCATCCCCTATCAAACTAGAATTGCCCATCACATTTTCTCAATCCCCCTTATTGGGGAAGTTGCCTCACCTTCCAGCAGTGCAGAAGCAGCAAGCCCTGAGGCACAAATGGGTGGATTTGAGTAACCAATTAGATATTTTTTCCCAGCACTTGAGATTGAGCTAGCAGGTCACATGGGGTACTGGGGACATGGGACCATCTAGATTTGGGTGCAGAGCTGGTGCCTTCCAAGTTGCCTGCATGCTGAGGCCATAGGGGAGCAGAAATCAAGAGCCATATAGAATAACACAGCATATCTGCAGAGAGCTGTAAACACAAGCTATTGGGTGGGGGTGGGGACAGGTGGAGAGAGGGGGGGCGGGGAGAACCATTCCAGGGTTTCTGTGATGCCCCAGCTGAACATCTTGCAGTGGAGTTCCTGGAGATATTCCAGTATCCTTAACATGAATCCAATTTCAGTTAAGTTATCCTGAGGCAGTTTCTGTTCCTTATAGTCAACTGTCTCTCCCCATGAACCAGAAAGCTCTGCTAGTACAATAACTATCTCTTATCATCAGTTATGCTGGTGTGTTTGCTTGCACCTGGCAAGCAAACAGGGGCCTGGCAAGCAAACAGGGGCCTGGCAACCCTGAGGGCAAGAACTTGATCCTGTTCATCCAGCACCTCTAGAGCCTGATACATGTTGGATGCTCAGAAAATAGTTGTTGGATTTATATCCTCAGAGTTGATAGGATGAGTTGATGGATCATTTGTTAGCAAACACTCTGAACTTCTCTATGCTTACCTCCATGTTGCTACATTTGCATTATTTTATATGGTTTTAATCAAATCAGCTTTTCATGTACTCACAAACTTCCCACACTCATATGCTTTGGCTTTCTCCTATTTGGTGGGTACCAGGAAGGAGTAAGGGCTTAGCAGCACTAGAGGCACAAGTCTCTCTCTGGTTGGTGGGATTTTGAGTCCTAGACAAAACCTGTCTTTCAGTATTCAACTGTCTTTGCCTTTGAAATGCATACTTCCTGTGAAGGCTGTTGGGGTAGCTTAATTTCAATGATGTCATTTAAAGCACATCAAAAAGTCAGCAGTACAACTCCTTTCTTCAGAAACCTACTCAGAATCATAGATTTTCAGAGCCAAGGCCAGTGGCTCTCAGTCTTTAGAATTACTATGAACCAGCATGAATATTTAAAAAGAAAAAAGGGTTGCTGAATTTATATTCTTCCAATGAATAACACTAAAAACACTAAGCTTCTGTTAACACAACATCATTTCATAAAATAAAGTGTATGTTAACACCAAAATTATCATGCTCATTACCACCTAATTTAAATATCAAATACATTTGACTGTATAAAAACTCATTAACATTTTGATTTTCAAATATTTTTAAAAATAGGTAAGTATTTTTAAATTATGAAGTGCTTAACATTGTGCCTGGTACAAGTTAATTCTCTGAATTCTGAGAATTGGTGCTCAATAAATGTTAACCATTTTTAACACAAGGGAATATATTTTTCTTCTATCTTCCCCCAAAGTTTTGCTAAACTCCTTCATGGGACAAGTGTTGCTGAGGAACTGAATGACTGAATAATGGATTGAGAAGATTTGGGTACCCAGAAGTATTCTAAGGAGTAAGGTAGAAGATGGGGGAAGGGAAGGAGTCTACAGAATGGAGTGTGAGATTGAGGACTGTGACTACCACCTTATCTTGTGGGTAGGTAGGTGAAGGGTACATTAAGATCCAGGAAGGGTAAACATACAGTCTGAGGTTTTCATGTCACTGATGTGAAATATTCCTTCTCCCCACTTCACCTCTGGTTTCTGTAACATTTACTACAATGGTGCATGTTATGGTTTAGATGTGGTGTCCCCCAAAAGCTCATGTGTGAGACAATGCAAGGAGAGATGATTGGATTATAGTCTTGGCATGATCAGTGAATTGGTCCTGATGGGATTGACTGAGGAGTAACTGGAGGCAGATGTGATGTGGCTAGAGGAACTAGTCCGTTGGGGGCATGGCTATGGGGTATATATTTTGTGTCTGAAGAGTGGAGTCTCTTTGCTTTCTGATCACCATGTGAGCTGGTTCTCTCTGCCACTCTCTTCAGCCATGATGTCCTGCCTCATCTCAAGCCCTGAGGAATGGAGCCTGCAGTCTATGGATAGAGACCTCTGAAACCACAAGCCCTTAAATAAACTTTTCCTCCCTTAAAATTGTTCAGGTCAGGTATTTTAGTCCCAGCAGCAAAGAAGCTGGCTAAAACAGTGCATGAGTGTTATTCATAAGGTTTCAGAAATTGAGAAAAGGTATACATTTCTGAGACAGCATCCCAGAAGCAGAGGTTGATGATGAGAACAGAAGTTGCTTGACCTTCCAGAAATCTCAGCAAGGTTTTGAGCCTTGTTTCTGAGCTGAGACCTGACTTATATCTTCCTAGTAATAGACATTCTGGTCTCTGACTTGGGCATGAATATTTAAGGTGAGATCAGACTGGTTCCAAAGTTCTGTACTTGCCCTAGTAGGGTCAGAACTCTGATTTTGTCCTAGAATCACCCAGAGTCAGAGAGAATTCTTGGCCTGAAGATTTTTAAGGGTTAGAGAGGAGTGCTCCTCTGGTGCCTTAGGGGAATATCTGGCTTCTGTAGGATTAGAAGTGTTGTGGTGTCCACGTGGATGGAGGGACCTAAACTTTTATGAGGCAACAACTTAGAAATCAAAGGAATAACACTGGTTACTAAGCAATCTGGCTTCATGTGATTGAGATGCTGCCCGGGACAAAATTCTGTTTTCCCTGACACCCCTCCCCCAACTCTCTCTTCTGGTGCACCAGGGAACAACAGATCAGCCCTCTTAAAACTCTAGCAATCTTGGTGTTATGGTACAGAGTGATGACCAAAAACTTAGGGTTTCATGTTGGATAAACCAGGACCCCATGCCACTTCCTTAGACTCTGTGTCAGTTCGCATCGGTAAAATGGGTGAAGGCTCTCACTAACTGCCTCAGAGATGGCCTAAATGTGGTAATACACATAGGGGTTCAACAAGAACCTGACAGTCACTAATTCGCCTTCCAATCACCTGGCAGATTCATTTCGGTCATCCTCCGGTCAGCTCTCATTTAAACTTCCTTTGGAGGGAAAGTTAGTCCTTTGCCTTTGTCTCTTCTTCCCAGGTCCCACGGTCCCCGGAGGCAGGGCGACTGCTGGTCGGATTGCTGGCCAGCGATGGCGGTCTCTGAGACAATCGGTCTTCTTTAGTCAGTTTGGGCAGTGTCCGAGTGGCCTGCTCGGGACTTCTGCAGTTGGGCTTTGCAGGGAAAGCCACAGCCGCCACCGGCTCAGCTGTCGGCGCGGGGAGAGGCGTGCGGCAGCAAGTGGAAGAACCACACTGCGGGAAGTTCGACGCTGCCGCAGAGGTGGCAGGGCCAGTGGCCAGCGGAGGGGGATGGGCGCGTTAGAAGATAACTGAATGACCGGACAAGCCATCTCCGCCGGACCTCGCAGCCTCTAACCCGTGCTCTCAGTTATCCTCTCAGATGCTGACCGCGACTCCTGAAGTGACAGCCACGTGGATCGCGGCGCGCGAGGCGGGGAATGGAATGTGGGCGTGGGGGCGGGGCTGGAAAGGGGCCCCAGAGGTGAAGTACCCGCGTCCGCGCGCCCTGACGCCGACTGCCAGGCGACGCTTCCGGGAGCGAGCACGCTTGACGTCACTCGCCGCTCGCCCAATGAGCGGAGGCTTGGGGGAGGCGCCGTCCCCGCCTCCTCCCGCCCTCGCCCCGCTGCCGCCGCCGCCGCGGTCGCACCGGCCGCCCCCGGAGAGTCTGAGGAGGCGCGGGCCGCTGCAGGCTCAGGCGCCGCAGCGCGCGGGCCCAAGTCCCGGACGAGGCCCAGGGAGCCGCTCGCCCCGGCCCCGCCGCCCCATGCCCTCAAGATGGAGGCAGCGGGGGCGGTGGCGTGAAGAAAGCGGCGCTGTGGGCGCGGGAGTAGGGGGCCCGGCGGCCCGGGCGGCGGCGGCGGGATGGGGCTGCTGCTTATGATCCTGGCGTCGGCCGTGCTGGGCTCCTTCCTCACGCTGCTCACCCAGTTCCTGCTGCTGTACCGCAGACAGCCCGAGCCGCCGCCGGACGAGGCGGCCAGCGCAGGCGACGGCTTCCGCTACACCAAGCCGGTGCCGGGCCTGCCCCTGCGGGAGTACCTCTATGGCGGCGGCGGGACTGAGGAGCCCTCCAGCGGGGCGCCCGAGGGCGGTGCGACCCCGGCCTCTGAGACCCCCGCCCCGCCGACGCGGGAGACCTGCTACTTTCTCAACGCCACCATCCTGTTCCTGTTCCGGGAGCTGCGGGACACCGCGCTGACTCGCCGCTGGGTCACCAAGAAGATCAAGGTGGAGTTCGAGGAGCTGCTGCAGACCAAGACGGCAGGGCGCCTGCTGGAGGGGCTGAGCCTGCGGGACGTGTTCCTGGGCGAGACGGTGCCCTTCATCAAGACCATCCGGCTCGTGCGGCCCGTGGTAGCTTCGGCCACCGGGGAGCCCGACGGCCCCGAGGGGGAGGCGCTGCCCGCCTCCTGCCCGGAGGAGCTGGCCTTCGAGGCGGAGGTGGAGTACAGCGGGGGCTTCCACCTGGCCATCGACGTGGACCTGGTCTTTGGCAAGTCCGCCTACCTGTTCGTCAAACTGTCCCGAGTGGTGGGGAGGCTGCGCTTCGTCCTCACCCGCGTGCCCTTCACCCACTGGTTCTTCTCCTTCGTGGAGGACCCGCTGATCGACTTCGAGGTGCGCTCCCAGTTTGAAGGGCGGCCCATGCCCCAACTCACCTCCATCATCGTCAACCAGCTCAAGAAAGTCATCAAGCGCAAACACACGCTGCCGAATTACAAGATCAGGTGAGAGGGGGGCCGGGGCACCCACGGGGTCCGCAGGCACGGGACCTGGCTGCGGGATCGGGGCCGGCCGGCGCCTGCTGCCTCCGGGGAGTGGGAAGGGCAGAGGCGTACTTGTAACCCCAGCCCCTGTTTCCCCAGGACCAGGGACGTAGGCAAAGGCAAGTAATGGACACTTTGCCTCCGAACCTTTCCTTGTGTTCGCGGGCACTCCTGATGCTGTCAGCAGCGCATTGATAATGGAAGTATATTGATAATTATCCCCAGAAGTCGCCTCTGGGACTGTTGAGAAACTTCCTGTGCGTACTTGCTGCAAGAAGGGCCGTGTCATTGGCTTTGCAGCAAGCCCTGGGCCACGTTGAGAAATTGTTCCTGGACACAGGACAAGGCATGAAGGTGTGCTTTTAGCCCAGGTCTGTTCTATTTTGCCATCTCCAACTACTTTTGCTTTGATGCATTGGCAACTTTGAGGGCAAAGGTAGTAGCCATAGCAAAGGAATACTTTCCGCAGCAAATTGGGAAGGAGTTGGGAGCCCGTAGATAGTGTGTGGATCCCTGCATTTTGAATTACTGTCATCTTCCCTTTGGGGGTAGCCTGTGTGGTACAGACCCAGAATGGGCCCCTCAAGTGTCTATTCTCTGGCTGTTAAGTTCCTCACTCAGTACTTAAAGTCACCCTTCAGATAGTATTTTAATGATGTAGTGATTTTAATTTTTTAGAGCCTTCCTGCATGTAATGGCTTATTTTTACATAATATACTGTTTTGGTTAATGTATGAGTTTTCTTTTACTATCACAGGAGAAATGGAAGGGAAAAGAAAGTTTTGTAGGACTATAGGCTTCATCCACTTTAGTGGATGGCAAAGTTTGTGGTTAGAGTGGGAAAAAAACATGGCTGTTTCTTTTAAAAGCTGAATATTAAATTTCTCTTCATATCCTCCCTTAGTTTTGTGTTTATTAATAAAGCCTTTTGGATTTTACTCTTTATTATAAAATTATTTCAGTTTTGTAGTAGCTTTACCTAATGCCCTTTAGAGGAGGCTGAATAGTTCTGGATCACTACCGCATGCTCAAGCCAGATAATCCAGAAATATTGTGAATTTGGAATGGCTATTGACTTGAGTATGTAGCAGACTTGTTTAAGCTAATAGCACAGTGACAAAATTGTTGGGTGGGAGAAATTTATTTTATAATGAAAATTTTCCTATAGATTTGCAGAAGATGGTAAACTAATCATTCATTGTTTGATTTCTGGTTTTGTGAAATAGATTATACTTTATGAAACCTACTTTTAAGTTGTGGAATATAAGTGACTAAATTATAAATGAGTGTTTAAGCAGTGAGGTGTTTATTTATAGCAGTGTGTTGCTGAGAAAGTAAGGAGAAAAAGTTGTTAGATTTTAAAATCACAACTTTAATACTGATGTTTTCTGGAGCCTTCGGGTGATAAAATTTGGGTAGGTTTTTATTATTTGGGGCTTATTTGCAGATAGTCATTGGTGATAAGATTGCATATCATTTTGAGAATTTTTTAAAATGTAGATTTGGAATTCAGTTATATCTGAAATGATGAGTAAGAGTTATGGAGCCACTGAGGAAGTTCATTACTTTGAATAAGCTTTATCATTGAAGAAGAACACTATTTATTTTAAGTATGGCAAAATTGTCTTTCATTTACTGTATACAGAAGGATTTTAAAGAAAGCAGGACATACCCAGATTTGGTGGTGTACGTCTATAATCCCAGCACCTTAGAAGGCTGAGGCAAGAGGTTGATCACATGTTCCAGGACAGCCTTCATAGTTTAGGGAAACCCTCACCAAGTTAGTGAGACCTTATCTCTCTCTCTCTGCCCACCCCTACCCCCACACATGAGATTTTTAAAAAAGGTTGGGAGTGAATTCAATGGTAGAGTGCCCCAGGGTTAATCCCCAGTACTTCCCTCCTCCAAGTACAACATAAGTTTGATTGTTATTTTAACTTTAAACCTTCAGCATTAAATGATCATGCCTGAAAATATACACATCTGTGCCCTTTTTATTAGAGGGTATCTTATTGATCAGTAAGTAAATACTGCACAGACTGCATCACTCAGTCTGCAGGTATTTATTAGACTCCTGCAATATGCTTATTATTCTATATGCTAGGGCTTTAATACTAAATAGATATAGGCTCAACTCTCAGAGTCTAGAATTCAGTGAGAGTTGAATTACCTGTACTTGATAAGATTTAAGGTTGAGTGGGATTGATGGGATTGAAGTAACTGGGGAAATTGATTTTTGCTTAGTGAAAGAAAAATAGAAGTGTAGGAATGAAAAAGGTGACCTCAGAAAGTATTAACTTCTCTTTTTTGTGTGTGTACCTGCTCTGCAAGAAGTGTTTTAAACTGGTGATTTAAAGAGAATAAATTACAGTACATCTAAGATGTATTACAGTTCTCACTATGGGAATTAAATTAGCCTAGTGTTATCCTGTTTTATAGATGAGAGGAGTGAAGCTCAGAGTAGTTTAATAACCTGTGTAAAGTCACACAGCTTTCAGGTGGTGAAATCTAGCTTTGAAGAAGTCAGACTGCCTTAAAAAAATTATATTGCATTGTCCTTAAGGGCTTAAAAATGTCGTCAATATAATATATATGGGGTATCTTTCCAAGTTAAGTGAGAACTCTATAAAGCTTATTTTTCCCTTAAATTGGAAATTTTGAGAGGATCCTTTTAAAGTTAAACCATAAGATTAAATCTTTGAGTGCTACTCCACATAGCATTTTTTAAAATCCAGCAGATTGTGTTTCCAAATAGAAGGTCTTGCTAGTTTATCCATTTTAGCCATCTAATCTTCTTAGTAGAGCTAAGGCAGTAAAGAAAATTGTATTGAATCTTGAGTCCTCTGGTATTTTTAATCATTACATAACAGAAATATCTTGCCAGTTAACATTGTTGTCACTTCTTCCCCCTTTACTTTTCCTTTTTCATGTTGCTTAATTGAAATGTCCTATCAGGACTGCCAGTTCCTGATATTTCACCTAGAGATGCTAAAGTAGTTCAAGTAGTTGCTTCCTAAGGATCTAGCTGATTAACACTTCATTTTACCTAACATATTTGGTTTATGAAATACTAACTTTTAAAAAAATCTATAGAAAATGTGGTTTCCAATTTATTGAAGTTAGGTGTTTCTTGATCCAGCCATGTTAGTGATAACTTTTGTTTTTTTTTTCCCTTAAAATGTATACTAAAATGGTATGTTAAAGTAGTATTACTGAAAAAAATTAACCCCAAAATTCATCTTCAAGTGGGAAAGATTACTGGTGGTATTTTTTAGTATGTGTTGAGCCTGTCTTCATTGTGAAATCTGAGTATTAGTCCTGGAGTGAGGAGGGCTTTTGGGGGTTTTAGGAGTCACATATTTGGGATTCTTACTGATGCTTCTGTTTGTACAGTATTCTTTCCCTGCAGCTAGTATTGGTTGCATATTGGAAGGTCAGATTCAGTTTGTATATACTTGTTACATAGCCTGCACTGTTTTTGGATTTGATTTTTAATTGCTAACAGTAAAAAATGGAAGATTTCACAGGATTTGATTTTTTGACTTCTGTTAGGAAAAACTGAGGTATCTTGTACCAGGTCTGCATTCCTTACAGCTAGCAATAGGATGAGAAAGGATCTGTAGTAGCAGGTTGGAGCAGGGGAGGAGCCTGTAAGCTCCTGCAGGTAGTTTACAGTCCCTATGAACTTGCCTCATTTGACTACTGGTACTTGCCTAGCCTGGAGTTAGACCCTTATTGGAAGAGTAATAATGGGAAGATCTAATAGATAGGAAAGATAGATTTTTTTCTTTAAATTTTATTCATTTGTTTATTCATTCTAATTATATGTGAAAGCAGAATGCATTTTGATTCATTGTATACAATTGCAGCACATCTTTTCATTTCTCTGGTTGTATATGATATAGGGTGGCACCATATGTACAGTTATACATGTACCTAGGGTAATGATATTTATCCCATTCCACCATCTTTCCATCCCCCATGCTTCCTCCCCTCCTCTCCTTCCCCTTTGCCCATTCATGGTTCCTCCATTTTTCCCATCACCCCCCCCCCATCCCATTATGGATCAGTATCCACTTCTCAGAGAGAACATTTGGCCTTTGGTGTTTTGGGATTGGCTTACTTTGGTTAGCATGATATTTTCCAACTCCATCCATTTACCTGCAAATGCCATAATTTTATTCTTTTAATGCTGAATAATATTCCATTGTGTATATATATCACAGTTTCTTTATCCATTCATCTATTGAAGGGCTTCTAGGTTGGTTCCACAATTTAGCTATTGTGATGTAAACATTGATGTGGCTGCATTACTATAATATGCTGATTTTAAGTCATTTGGGTATATACCAAGGAGTGGGAGAGCTGGGTCAAATGGTGGTTCCATTCCAGGTTTTCTAAGGAATCTCCATACTGCTTTCCAGATTAGCTTTACCAATTTGCAGTCCCACCAGCAATGTATGAGTGTGCCTATTCTGCTACATCCTTGCCAACACTTATTGTTGTTTGTATTCTAACCCCTCTTTAACTATCTTGGAACGGATTTTCATTGATTAATTTTATTTTAAAAGATACTGTTAGGGCTGGGGTGGTGGCTCAGTGGTAGAGTACTCGTCTAGCATGCATGAGGCACTGGGTTCGATCCTCGGCACCACATAAAAACAAACTCATGTATCCACCTAAAACTAAAGATACATACAGAAATAAATAATTTTTTTTAAAAAGATGGTGTCTATATAATGCTGAATTTTAAAGACTTATTTCCGCCAGAAACTCAAAACAAAACAAAAAAATTCCTTGAAATATTTCCACTTTTCTGTCATGTCATTATAGCAAACAAATGGTGGCTGATTTTTGCTTGGATTTGGTGGATATTTTTCGTTAGTTTTTCATTAGTTAACTGTATAACTTTGATCTATAGAAAACATTTATTGACACTATACTTGAATTTAATGCATATG